CGGCGTGTACTCAGTTGCGTGCGGTCATAAGAGCGATACGCGACGCGTATATGGCGGTGTCGCGGTGTCTACGAACGCGGGTGCATCGGCTGTTACGGCTTTTCCGATTTCGTCAGCGAGTAATGGTGGTGCGAAGCGACGACGATCCGTGGCACCTGGTCGGTACACGGTCGTTGCTCGTCGCTTGGCCGGCGGACGTCGAGCGTAAATCTGGCCGAGGCAGAGAGTGGGTCAAGAGACACGCGGAGGCAAACGTTGAGCTCGCGATAAAAAATCGCGGGTAAAAGAGGAGCAGATAGCGTGTAACGCGAGAAAAGGTAAAGAGAGGGATCCAAGGGGTGAGAGAGTGTGGGTGACCCATGGAACGTAAACGCGCTCTCTGCCGGCCAGGGTTGTTTGCTCGAGAGCAAGAAAGAGAGGGAATTTTCGAGCAAACAGTGTCGGATGGTAGCGCAAGGCTGCTCGAAGCTTCTCGTTTTCGAAACACCGTGGAGCCGAAAGACGCGTAACATCTTGTTTTCGCGGAGATACCGCTCCGACCCCCTCGACGCGCGCCATGCCGCCGATACGTTGCAATTGTTCCAATGCAAACAGCTTTTGGTCAACGAGTATCTCCTGTTTAGCTTGCGATACGCACCGACCAGTGTTCCAGACACCGAACATGTACGCCATCGATCACGTAGCCGTGTGTTATTTGGTAAATATAATAATACGTCGCGCTGTACTCGCGCAGCCAAGAAACGCTTTTATCTACAGACGTACTCTCGCGTTCCACGCTTCCATGTATTCGTGCAAACTGTTCATTAGCGCAATCGTTATGTACATTCCTCGAGCAAGTAATTTCATACGCGATCGCGTATGCAAGCTTCGGTTACCAACTACGAATTCTTTCGCGCCAGGACTACCGATCCGCTCGAAATTACCGGTCTCCGGAATTTTCCGCTTCGCAATTATCATGGAAGACGTATATTCGTTTACGTTGCTGGGAATATGGTTTAATGATTTTATGTATATACTATATTAAAACCCTTCGCACTCGAGAGGTGACCGTCAGTCACCCTCAGATAAAATTTCGAAGATCGATATTAATTAACCCTTTGCACTCGAGAGGTGACTCTCAGTCACCGTTTGTTGAGAGGTGACCGTCAGTCACCCTCAGATAAAATTTCGAAGATCGATATTAATTAACCCTTTGCATTCGAGAGGTGACTCTCAGTCACCGTTTGTTTCAACGCTATAACTCAAATAACGAATGATGATAATTATATTAACAACTACGCGCGAAATATCGAAACGAAATAATTCTATTCGTTCATTTCTCACACAAATTCACGATTTTCTTTTTTTATTTCGGCATAAAGGGTATCAGCGAGCTCATGAAAATCTAAGAAAAGCTTCGAATTGCTGTTTACGACGAAAAAGTCTTCGTGTCCAAAGGATTAGGAAAGGTATCGAATAATGGTAAGATGATTAAAATCAACAGTACCAATTCCACGTTTAACGTGGTAGGAAATGTAATTGGTTGTTCAAATTATTATCCCTGTGCACTGGAAAATTTCCTCGTTATGAAGATATAACAGTTCGAAGCTTTTCTTATATTTTTCTTATCTCGGTGATACCATTTATGTTAAAATAAAAAGAGAAAATCACGTGTATTTCGTTTCAGTATTTCACGTGAAGTTATTTCTAATCTAGTAATATCTCATATTCGTTACTCAGGCTTCCAGGTACTGAAACAAGCGGTGACTAACAACGAGAGTTACCTCTCGAGTGCAAAGGGTTAATACGTCAAATTTCAGATAATATAACGATGTGCGAGCTGTCGAAATCAAATAATTCTACGTGTTAATCATTATACGATTTCTTATTGATTACTGAAAGAAATATCGCCAGTTTTATAGCTAGAAAATCTTTGAACTCCTATTCATCTTTAACCAAAAGGGTTAACCCTTTGCACTAATTTTTCTATTTTTCTAATTTCTTTTCGAAATCAGAAACATATACGCGTTTTATATCGCCTTGACGAGTAAGTAAATATAAATTGGACTGGTAGAATTGCGCGCACGCGAAATGATCGAGAAATGATCATTTATCTTGGAAGAACGAACTAATTTCGAATCTTCCAAAAAATTGAATCGAATCTTAAACGGAATGAAAAAATCCAAATTGCACGAAATATACATTATTACACCATGTAACTGATGTTTTAACCCTGTGCACTCGACGAACTTCTGACTAAAGAAGAGTAGGGGTTGAAAGATTTTCTGCTCTACAAATGAGGATATTTTTTTGAGCAGTAAATAAGGAATCGTATAATAATTAACACGTAGAATTATTTGATTTCGATACCTTTCATATCGTTACATTATCTTAACACTAGAACTACCAACCCAGTCAAAATGACTGGTCCCAGAATTTTCATTTTTGCAATCACCGAACACGTACACCTGCTTTAAGAATAAAATTGGTATCAACTCGTATTAAGAGAGAACTGTAATCAATATATTCACTCGTATTCGTCGTACCCCTGAAATTAGCTGTTATCTGTTCCTGCTATGTTTGGTAGATCGGTAGCTAATAATTAACCCCTATGGGTAGTACAATTTGATATAGTTAATAAGTATCAAAGATCGGTAGATACAGTATTAACCCTTTGCACTCGGCGATCGTTTCGTTACAGAAACATAGTAATTAAAATATTTTCTGCCACAATGTCGATATTTTTAAAATGGTAAATAAGAAGTGCAAATTAATTATAAGACGTAGAAATATTTTACCTGGATGTTCCACGCGTTGTTGGACGATTTTAAATTATAGATATTAACCCCATTGCACTCGAGAGACGCCCTTTAGTCGCCATTTGATAAAATTTCGACGTTCGATATTAATTAATATATCAAATTTAAGATAATGTAATTTACTTACTGCTAGGAAAATATCATTATCCTTATAGCAAAAAATTTTTGAATTCGTACGCCAATTTAGCCAAAAAATGGTCGAGTGCAAAGGGTTAATTAACAACGATCTTTAGAATCTGATTAAATGGCGCCTGAGAGTGCAAAGGGTGAAGATCTGCATCCACGATTTGTATAAAATCTTCGTGTCTCGCGGTAATTATTATACGTGGAAAATAAAATTTTGTTACAAAGTTGAGAAGAATATTTCCAACATTCGAACAGCTTTTATTCAAAGAATTACATCCTCGTCATACCTCTATGTACCCAAGCAAACATTTCATCAGCGCAATCTTTGTTTCTCTTTTAGACATTCCTTAACTTCTCGATAAACACTGACGCGTTTGTATACAATTACTTTCGAGTGACACAATGAGCATAATCGCAGTCATTAAGTGATATTCGACGATCGCATAGATGAAATTCCTTGCGGAATTTTAAAAATCGAAGATATTTAATACGTGCCCCACGATACTCGGCGACGATCGAATTCGCGTTAGAGAATTAACCTTTTCACTCCTGAGTTACGAAGAGACTAGCAAGCGACCTGTCCTGAATTAATTTAACAAATTTTATTTTTGTTCAAATCTAATAAAATATAATATCGTGCATTATAAGCTTACCCGCGGTGACAAAGATGAATACAGAAGTTCAGAAGTCATTAAATATTTTATTTGCAAACCCTGGCAGCAGATGAAAAATCTCGGGCCAAGTCATAATACATAGTCTCACAATATTTTTAACCACTTGCGCTCTACAATATAACATGCGGTAAGGCGTTAAATTGACGTAACACCGTGTCTGCGAGCTAATTGTTAGCCGACGTGACGGACACGTTTTTGTTTCTGTGACAAATGCCTATCGACGTGGTGTACACGTCACTTTGGAACAAAAGCATCTCGACGTGCGTGACACGTCTTTATAGCGCAAGTGGTTAACAGGGGGCAAAATAATATAGAGATCATATCGAAAAAAATTTCTCCTTTATCCCAAAAGATGGAAGGACATGTCATAATAATTGGATCGCGTTCAAAAAGAATTTTCCAAGTTCCAACAGCTTCGAAATCCATAGACGTTGTATCACGTCCGTGTTACAGCGTGACGTAGTACAACGTCCGCAGGAGTGAAAGGGTTAACCTATTGACTGCCACGAAAATTTAGCACGTCTTGCCCTGAGTGCCATGGTTTTATTTTAAAGAAAACATATAGGTTCTCACACACCCATTCAATCTGAGCTATGACCGATGTATAGTTTTGTAAAATAATTTTGTAATAGATGCACAATACAAAATTATTAAATTTTCAATTTAAAAGTATATAATTTACCACTTTTTATATTGTGTTATCATTGCTGTATTTTGTATATTGTATCTTTTACATGTTATTATTGCTTAACCCATTGACTGCCACGCAAATTCAGCGCGTCTTGCCCTGAGTGCCATGGTTTTATTTTAAAAAAAAACATGCATATATGGGTTCTCACACAACCATTCAATCTGAGCTATGACCGCTGTATAGTTTTGTAAAATAATAATTTTGTAATAGATGCACAATACAAAATTATTAAATTTTCAATTTAAAAGTATATAATTTACCATTTTTTATATTGTGTTATCATTGCTGTATTTTGTATATTGTGTCTTTTACATGTTATTATTGCTTAACCCATTGACTGCCACGCAAATTCAGCGCGTCTTGCCCTGGATGCCACGGTTTTATTTTAAAGAAAACATGAAGTTTTACAAAATATAATGATCTAATCGTCGAAGTTATAATTTGAACATTTTAATAATAAAAATTGATAATTAATATGTTCTCTACGCTATATACATTTTTCATTCATCCTTTCTAATAATTCCTAACTCAAATGGCCATTTGTAGCCAATCTAAACTTGCAGCACACACTACGAGATATCTCGTAGCTGGCAGTTTTGACGCAGACGCTTACTACGAGATATCTCGTAGTTGGCAGTCAATGGGTTAAGCAAAATTGCGTGGATTCTCGGACAATCGTTACATAGCTAACAGCCGTATCTCTGGTTCCAGTGTCCTGTGACAGTGAGCTCGTCGCTGACGTCCTCTTCGGCCTCGCCGGTGTCCGGTACGATCCTGAGCGCAGGCGGCTCGTCGCTGGTCAGCGCAGCGGGCACCACCACGAATCATCCCCTGGGCGTAGCTGCCGGTCTGTCGAACGCGAGGATGGCGGTGACCAGCGCGGTGGTTAGGCCGCCAGGCAGTCCGACCACGTCGGTCAGCCCGTCGCAGGGTCATCCACCGCCGACGACCGGCGGCCCGACGCCGACCGGACGTTGTTGCGACACCGGGAGACCGATTTTCACCGATCCTCTCACGGGTCAGACCGTCTGCTCCTGTCAATACGAGCTCCTCGGCGGCTACCAGCGCCTCGGCGCGCTACCGACGGCCGCGCTCTCCATGTACAGCGCGCCTTACGCCGCTGCGGCCGCCGCAGCCGCCTCCGAGGGCATGGCCGCCTACTTCCCCAGTCTAGGGGCCGAGCAAGCACCCTTCTACACGCCTACGGTGAGTTCTTTTATTTTTCTCCCATCCGACAATGTTTTATTTTTCATAGTATTTGCGATGGCAATGGAGTTAAAACAGAAAGGAACGCTAATTACAAAAAGGCAACGCTTTAATCCTTTCCCATTGGCAGCGGCCATGAAACGTTCTCTGGGTACTACCGTCGCCTATTTGCGGCATCCGCGAAACGTCACCGATGACTGTGTCGCGATCCGAATGAAAAGTTTAGTGTCAATCACGCTAGAAATTTCTATGAATACGGCAAAACACGATTTCGCAGGTTTCCAGTGAAACCACTCTTGTGGCAAATTTCCTCGTACCACGAATGTATAACCGCGACCAGCTCCTCCGTATCGAAAGGGTTAATAATTGATAACTCGATCGGTGTGTGCTGTACAACGATTCCATAGAGATTTAGTCGTTTGAGCAAAGGAATCTGGCTGGTGACTGATCGACACGTACACCATCATACATTAGTATGTAATCAAAAAACATTTTAACATGGAGGTTATATGTAAGATGTCTCGACTTGTGTCTTTAGCATCCCAATAATTTTAAAAAATCTTCCGTGGTACGGAAGCGACGTTTGTGGTATGGTTTAAGAGGATTGACAGCCCTGGCAATCAGGAGATCAATTTTTATATCTGAGACGCAGATCGTCTTTTGTCTTCGCAGGGGGGCACGCATGGTTTTATGATTATTTTAGAATGGTGATTCGCGATACGTACTCCTAAGTCATTAAATATTTTATTTGCAAATCCTGGCAGCAGATGAAAAATCTCGGGCCAAGTCATAATACATAGTCTCACAATATTTTTAACCACTTGCGCTCTACAATATAACATGCGGTAAGGCGTTAAATTGACGTAACACCGTGTCTGCGAGCTAATTGTTAGCCGACGTGACGGACACGTTTTTGTTTCTGTGACAAATGCCTATCGACGTGGTGTACACGTCACTTTGGAACAAAAGCATCTCGACGTGCGTGACACGTCTTTATAGCGCAAGTGGTTAACAGGGGGCAAAATAATATAGAGATCATATCGAAAAAAATTTCTCCTTTATCCCAAAAGATGGAAGGACATGTCATAATAATTGGATCGCGTTCAAAAAGAATTTTCCAAGTTCCAACAGCTTCGAAATCCATAGACGTTGTATCACGTCCGTGTTACAGCGTGACGTAGTACAACGTCCGCAGGAGTGAAAGGGTTAACCTATTGACTGCCACGAAAATTTAGCACGTCTTGCCCTGAGTGCCATGGTTTTATTTTAAAGAAAACATATAGGTTCTCACACACCCATTCAATCTGAGCTATGACCGATGTATAGTTTTGTAAAATAATTTTGTAATAGATGCACAATACAAAATTATTAAATTTTCAATTTAAAAGTATATAATTTACCACTTTTTATATTGTGTTATCATTGCTGTATTTTGTATATTGTATCTTTTACATGTTATTATTGCTTAACCCATTGACTGCCACGCAAATTCAGCGCGTCTTGCCCTGAGTGCCATGGTTTTATTTTAAAAAAAAACATGCATATATGGGTTCTCACACAACCATTCAATCTGAGCTATGACCGCTGTATAGTTTTGTAAAATAATAATTTTGTAATAGATGCACAATACAAAATTATTAAATTTTCAATTTAAAAGTATATAATTTACCATTTTTTATATTGTGTTATCATTGCTGTATTTTGTATATTGTGTCTTTTACATGTTATTATTGCTTAACCCATTGACTGCCACGCAAATTCAGCGCGTCTTGCCCTGGATGCCACGGTTTTATTTTAAAGAAAACATGAAGTTTTACAAAATATAATGATCTAATCGTCGAAGTTATAATTTGAACATTTTAATAATAAAAATTGATAATTAATATGTTCTCTACGCTATATACATTTTTCATTCATCCTTTCTAATAATTCCTAACTCAAATGGCCATTTGTAGCCAATCTAAACTTGCAGCACACACTACGAGATATCTCGTAGCTGGCAGTTTTGACGCAGACGCTTACTACGAGATATCTCGTAGTTGGCAGTCAATGGGTTAAGCAAAATTGCGTGGATTCTCGGACAATCGTTACATAGCTAACAGCCGTATCTCTGGTTCCAGTGTCCTGTGACAGTGAGCTCGTCGCTGACGTCCTCTTCGGCCTCGCCGGTGTCCGGTACGATCCTGAGCGCAGGCGGCTCGTCGCTGGTCAGCGCAGCGGGCACCACCACGAATCATCCCCTGGGCGTAGCTGCCGGTCTGTCGAACGCGAGGATGGCGGTGACCAGCGCGGTGGTTAGGCCGCCAGGCAGTCCGACCACGTCGGTCAGCCCGTCGCAGGGTCATCCACCGCCGACGACCGGCGGCCCGACGCCGACCGGACGTTGTTGCGACACCGGGAGACCGATTTTCACCGATCCTCTCACGGGTCAGACCGTCTGCTCCTGTCAATACGAGCTCCTCGGCGGCTACCAGCGCCTCGGCGCGCTACCGACGGCCGCGCTCTCCATGTACAGCGCGCCTTACGCCGCTGCGGCCGCCGCAGCCGCCTCCGAGGGCATGGCCGCCTACTTCCCCAGTCTAGGGGCCGAGCAAGCACCCTTCTACACGCCTACGGTGAGTTCTTTTATTTTTCTCCCATCCGACAATGTTTTATTTTTCATAGTATTTGCGATGGCAATGGAGTTAAAACAGAAAGGAACGCTAATTACAAAAAGGCAACGCTTTAATCCTTTCCCATTGGCAGCGGCCATGAAACGTTCTCTGGGTACTACCGTCGCCTATTTGCGGCATCCGCGAAACGTCACCGATGACTGTGTCGCGATCCGAATGAAAAGTTTAGTGTCAATCACGCTAGAAATTTCTATGAATACGGCAAAACACGATTTCGCAGGTTTCCAGTGAAACCACTCTTGTGGCAAATTTCCTCGTACCACGAATGTATAACCGCGACCAGCTCCTCCGTATCGAAAGGGTTAATAATTGATAACTCGATCGGTGTGTGCTGTACAACGATTCCATAGAGATTTAGTCGTTTGAGCAAAGGAATCTGGCTGGTGACTGATCGACACGTACACCATCATACATTAGTATGTAATCAAAAAACATTTTAACATGGAGGTTATATGTAAGATGTCTCGACTTGTGTCTTTAGCATCCCAATAATTTTAAAAAATCTTCCGTGGTACGGAAGCGACGTTTGTGGTATGGTTTAAGAGGATTGACAGCCCTGGCAATCAGGAGATCAATTTTTATATCTGAGACGCAGATCGTCTTTTGTCTTCGCAGGGGGGCACGCATGGTTTTATGATTATTTTAGAATGGTGATTCGCGATACGTACTCCTGCGCGATTTGGGACTGGTGTTGGAAGGCTGTGGGCCTTTCGAGGTGACCACAGAGGTATTATGAGTGGGTTTCAGGGGGTGGGTTAGTTGGGAGATGATTTCTTGGAAGGAAGTAGAGTTTTATGGAAATACAGAGTTCTTGATCGTATTGGATATGTTTTATCAGGGATGAAAATGGTTATAGAGGAATATTGGTGGACATTTAACGACGTCACTTATTAAAATTAATATCAATCGGTGAATAATAGAGCGAGCACCATAGAAAGCCGGCCGTCGGGTAAATTATTCTCTAAACTCCATCCATTCGATCTTAATAGCGTACTCGCTGGTGCGTACTTTCCCGATTTCGTCGTGCATTGTTTAATTATGCTATCACCGCTCGTGCGACCGTTCTCGCGTAATAAACGTCAACGCAATGCGCCGCGGCCGCTCGATGTTCACACGCCCGGCGTTTCACCCCTTTCCAACCGGTGGCCTGGCCTTAAAACTTCGTTTTATCGCGGCCGTGAGCTTTCGAAGGACCTTCCTCACCCTGTGTTATTACCCTTCTAATTAATTGCTTTTGAAAATCTTCGCGAATCTACCAAAATATCTCTTTGTCGCTCTTCGGTTTTTTCCGAACTTAAGGAGATGCGTTTCTCTTTCTGTGTTTTCTAATCTGTCGAGACACCGTGGAAACACCGTGGAAACAGCGTGCAAATAGCGTGGAAAACACTGTGGAAACACCGGCAAAGTAACATCGAAATACCATGGAAACACCGTCGAAGTACCGCGGAAACACCGTCTAACCACTGTCGAAATACCGTCGTAAAAAAGCCGACGAAACACCGTCAACGTACCACGGAAATACCGTCAAAACACTGTCGAAATACCGTCGAAATACCGTCAAAGAAACGCCGACGAAACACCGTCGAAGTATCGTCGAAAAATCGTCGAAACACCGTCGAAACACCGTCGAAACACCGTCGAAACACCGTCGAAACTTTTTTTCCGAACTTAAGGAGATGCGTTTCTCTTTCTGTGTTTTCTAATTTGTCGAGACACCGTGGAAACACCGTGGAAACAGCGTGCAAATAGCGTGGAAATACCGCGGAAACACTGCCAAAGTAACATCGAAATACCGTGGAAACACCGTCGAAGTACCGTCGAAGTACCGCGGAAACACCGTCGAAGTACCGCGGAAACACCGTCGAACCACTGTCGAAATACCGTCGTAAAATAGCCGACGAAACACCGTCAACGTACCATGGAAATACCGTCAAAACACTGTCGAAATACCGTCGAAATACCGTCGAAATACCGTCATAGAAACGCCGACGAAACACCGTCGAAGCATCGTCGAAAAATCGTCGAAACACCGTCGAAACACCGTCGAAACACCGTTAAAGAAACACCGTTGGAACACCGTGGAAATACCGTGGAAATACCATCGGAACACCGTCGAAATACCGTCAAAGAAACGCCGACGAAACACCGTCGAAGCATCGTCGAAAAATCGTCGAAACACCGTCGAAACACCGTCGAAACACCGTTAAAGAAACACCGTTGGAACACCGTGGAAATACCGTGGAAATACCATCGGAACACCGTCGAAATACCGTGGAAACACCGTGGAAGCACCGTGAAAACACTGTCGAAACACCGTGGAAGCACCGTGAAAACACTGTCGAAACACCGTCGAAACGTCGTCAAAATACCGTCAAAATACCGTGAAAACACCATTTTCACGGATTTTACGGATTATCAGGCACAGAGAGATAAGCAACGCATCTATTGGCCGACTTGGTTTCGTCATAAGCGTGCGTGAAATCGGCGGGAATTTTTCAAAGTATGTCAGGTGTGAGAAAGAGGCGGATTTTTCGGACGCACTCGCGGGGCGAGTTCTACGATAATCGAGATGTTATCTCGGCGAAAGGTCCCGGACAGCGCGATGTTAATGCGAGAGGAAGAAGGCGCAGGGAGCGGGAATCGCGTGTACTCGGCCCCGTAGAGGTTATCGGACCACACACAAAGCGCATACACGGAGAAAATAGCCGCGAAGCGTAAATTTATGAATCCGTCCTGCCGTAACAGTGGGACACTGTCGTGTTCCAGCCGTCGCCGGGGCCCGCCTGTTATCGTCGCTCTTTATGATCGAGCTTATGGGGCGGGCGTATAGATCGTGGCCTCTCCTCGTAACCGGGCTGCTAGATCGCGCACACAGGTTGGAGAAAGCACGTAACCCCGACTACCTTCGCGGCTAATGCCCGTTCAGCGTCGTTTTTAATGGGACCGTTCGCTTCTACGAGGCCCCGTGATTTTCCCGAGAATCGCTCCCGGTTAACCCTACCGTACCACTCGCGTTACGTCCTCGCGAATACCTCCGGGTCACGATGTCCTCGTGATCCACGCCAAACCTACCATGGTCGAGTGATCGGTGAATGAGGAACAGTGGAATCGTGAAAAAAATCGATAACAATTGGCCAAGATGATAACGTCGAACGCGGAATTTCGAATGACAGTCTAAAAACGGGTAACTTCAGCGTCAACAGTGGAAATTATTAAATATCATTGTGGAATTTAGACATAGTAAATATGATAAGTGACCTTGATTATCCGAATCTCCCACTATCTAAATATACATATTTCGGACGTAAACAGTTTGATTTAAAGCACATCGTGACACGATTTATGGTAGAAATAAATAACCATTCGGATAGTCTAGTACTCGAGAGAAATTTGGCAGCCATTTCGAAATAAATTTTCTCTTTCATCAAATTTCTTTATATACTCGTCCACGTCTATTAATTGATTTTAATTTTCATCCACACAGGGTATAACTAGACGTATCAAAATTGTTACCGTTTATACAGTATTCGGTATTTCTGGTATTAAACGCTGGATTAATAAAATCCAGTATAGAATAATGGCGGAACTTCTTTAAGTTTCGCACGCGGAGATCGCGATGGCGTCGGATGAAAATTGAAATTTCGAAAGCGGGTGAATTTTCAGGGAAAATTAGCGATAGCGTGTTAATTAAACGCTCGAATTTCGGAATATTCCTACGCGTTGGAAATCCGGATATCGTACGCTTTTGAGTTCAGTTTAAACACTCGGAATTACAGGGGTGGAGCAACGTTGTACGAAGAGAGGGCCTGGAATAAACGGTGTCGGGCGCGTGAATTTCCTTGGTCGAGCCGAACTCGCGTGAACCCCGGCCGGCCACTATTTCGAAGTGCTAATTACGCCAGTCCGGCGATGACTACGCCGTTCGAACACGATGTATAATTAATGTCATTAATGCAAGAACGATGCATACGGAAAAAGCCTGAGCGGGATCAGAGCGCTGGGTCGGTTTGGGCCAGGTGGGGAGAGGGCCGGGAAGCGTTCTATGCTTCTATTATTCCACCGATTGATGGTGCTTTAAATGCGGTATACGAAGTCGAGCCGCCGGGGTCATGGGTTACAGAAACAAACAACAGCGGCACACATCGATTCTAATTATCGTTATCGCTGCTTTGCCAGCCATTTTTCTCATTACCGTCGATGAATTGGAGATCGGTCGCGGTGGCGCCGATTAATTGTCATCGTCCTTTCGAAACTCGGTACAGGTAAGTCTCGATTAATTCGAGTACAAATACCGCCATATTCCATCTATTTATTTATTTATTTATTTATTTATCGAAGAGTGAATTGAAGGATCGCGATAATCGTCGGTGATTTAACCCTTTGCACTCGAGAGGTGACCCTCAGTCGCCATTTAACCCTTTGCATTCTACGATTTTTTGGTTAAAGAAGGGTACGAGTTGAAAAATTTTCTTCCGTAGGACTGATGATATTTTTTGAGTAGTAAATAAGAAATCGTATAACAATTAACACGTAGAATTATTCAATTTCGATACCTCGCACACTGTTATATTTTAACGTCCTTTCGAAAGTCGGTACAGGTAAGTCTCGATTAATTCGAGTCCAAATACTGCGATATTCCATCTATTTATTTATTTATTTATTTATCAAAGTGTTGATCGAAGGATCGCGATAACCGTCGGTGATTTAACCCTTTGCACTCGAGAGGCGACCCTCAGTCGCCATTTAATCGGATTCTAAAGATGAATGTTAATTAACCCTTTGCACTGGAGAGGTGATCTTCAGACACGATTTCATAAAATTTGGAAGATCGATATTAATTAATATATGAAATTTAAGGTAACGTAACAGTGTGCGAGGTATCGAAATCAAACAATTCTACAATTCTATTATTATACAATTCTTTATTTACTGCTCAAAAAAGTATCGTCAGTTTTTTAGTAGAGAATCTTGGAATTTCTACTCTTCTCTAGCCAAAAAATCGTCAAATACAAAGGGTTAATTGTTTAGATTAAGAAATAGATTAGTGAAATTAGTATCGTCGAGTAAGAAGGTTTGAATGATATTGGTGATTGGGTAATTTATTTATTTATTTATTTATACGGGATTAACCGATTAGCAAAATCACAAGAAAATTATTACAACGAGGTATAAAAAATAATATCGTGAAATATTCGGTAATTAATGATATTAACGGGAACTTGATATATTATGCAAATTAAATAGCAGGGTATACTATAATGAAAATTTTATTATGGATTTTTACTAACATTCTGTTAAATTGTTAAATAATAGGTATCGATTACTCGATGTAATTAGGACAATTAGGACAATTAGGAAAATTCTAGAATTTTAGAATAGGATGTATGGAACTTGAATTTCGTGGAAGTAATTTATCGTGAATTAACACGTTGACGACCGGTCACGGAGATTTATTATTATTATTATTATTATTATTATTTTATTCATAAACGGACCGTAGTCCAGTTACATGAAATTTCAAAAAGAAACGCAAACAAATAAATTATATATAATATAACACCGTAGGGACGTGCTTATAAACGCTTTGTTCAGAAGAAATAGCTTTAATTAATAATCACCCGTAATTGTCTTTTGAAAAATTTCTGTTTTGCTGCTTTCCGTGAAGAAATTCGTACAAACGTTAGTTTGTTGTAATATAGGAAAAATACTATTCCCCAACGTTCAACGAAGGATATAAATTTAGCTTTTTACTAGCAGACTCGATGCCATAGGTCGTATTACTCGGAGCTAGGAGCTGATATTTAATTATATGCCTGGTCCTACGTGAAAGGCTGGAGATCACAAATATCCGGTGATCAACGCGTTAAGAAACATTCCTGTATCTTAACTCGCATTAATCGAGATCAAACTGCACTCGGATGGATCATCGACGTCGTAAGCGTAACCGAAGATTCGCAAAAACGCTTGAGACGTGGTCGAAGTTCCATTTTCGGGAAGCTCTGATGTTGTACAACCATAACTTCGAGCTGCGCGAGCAAGAGTCCGGCGATATCGCTGGATGGCGTTTCTAAATCGACAGATAACGCCGTTGTTTCGTTCGTTTTGCAATTGATCGAGCGTTCCAGTTCGACACGGCTCTAATCATGCATCGTGGAATTCGTCTTTTTCAGCTGCGCTAATTACTCATGCGAGGCGGTTGCCACATTATTAACATGTATAATTGCTTCGCTTGCAGGCTGCTGGCCTCGATCTGAAGGAAAATCTTGGGGCAGGAGCCGCGGCGGCATGGCCTTACCCATCGGTCTACCACCCTTACGACGCGGCCTTCGCCAGCTACCCCTTCAACGGGTGAGTCTTTCACGCCTTTTTCCTCTCGATTATCACCCCGCGCAGAGAGTGTACGAAAATTTCGCCGAAAGAGAAAAAAAGGTGGAATAAAAATCGGAATGAAATCGCAGTACGCTTTATTCCGATACTGACGAGTTACGGAATCGCGGAATCGTGGAATCATGGAATTGCGAAATCGCGGAATCGTGGAATTGCGAAATGGCGATTACGGAATCGCGGAATCGTGGAATCATGGAATTGCGAAATCGCGGAATCGTGGAATTGCGAAATTGCGAAATCGCGGAATCGCGGAATTGCGGAATTGCGACGAATTGTGGCGAGTTGTGAGGAATTGCGGAATTGCTACGAGTTGCGGCGAGTTTCGGAATTGCTAGAAATTGCGACGAGTTGCGACGAGTTGCGACGAGTTGCGATGAATTGCGAAATTGTAACGAGTTGTGACGAGTTGCGGAATTGCGGCGAGTTACGTTGAGTTACGTTGAATTACGTTGAGTTATGACGAGTTTCGTTGAGTTACGTCTAGTTACGTCTAGTTACGTCTAGTTGCGACGAGTTGCGGCGAGTTGCGATTCGAGTTGCGGAATTGCGGCGAGTTACGTTGAGTTACGTTGAATTACGTTGAGTTATGACGAGTTACGTTGAGTTACGTCTAGTTGCGGCGAGTTGCGGTGAGTTGCGGTGAGTTGCCACGAGCTGTGACGAGTTGCGACGAGTTGCGGAAAATGGCGAGCGTCGCTTTGGACAATTAGGGGCTCACGTTTATGGCCGATCGAAGAAGAAATACCGCGTATTTAAGTGGTCGAAAGCACCGGTATACTTCACGCGGCGATAAAGATAGCCGCGCGTAGTATAGATCCTCCTCGATCCGCTCGAAACGCTCTATAACCGCCGCGGAACGCTCTCTCGCGTGGCCGTGCAGCCTGGAATAGGTAACTTCGTAATTATTTCGAGTTGCGTGCTCGCGATAAAAGTCGCGCGAGACGATAACGCGGTGTCGCTGGAGCGACGCGACACGCTCGAGCAGATAATACCGCGCGTTCCAAACGCGAGACCGCGAGGACCACGGTACTTCGCGAATACGTGCATACTCTCTCTCTTTCTCTCTCTCTACCATCGTGCGAGTAATTAGTCGTTCAAGTGGCATGCAACGAAGCTCCTCGAAGCCCTCGCGCGGAAAGTTTTTCAGCCATTTCGAAATTATCTCGATTATAATTGTCTCTGAAACGAGCGGCGAATCTCCAACGCGCTCCTGTTTTCTCGCACGAAATCTCAACAATGTGGTGAGAGAGAGGGAGAGAGAGAGACCCCTTCACCCTGACGTGCGTTCACGCGAGCCGCGTTTGGTCGTGGTGCTGCTCGGCGCGCACTCGCGCGTCCGCCTGATAACGCGCGCCGGAGAAACACATAAACATTCCAATAAATTAGCGCTCCGTTGACCCGGGACTGTCGCCTTGGGCGTTTTTATTCTCGCGCTTCGCGCTGGAATCGGTCAACGCGTGTCACGATGCGACCGGTGAAAGGTCTCGCCCGTCTGATAAATCGGAATCGTATTATCGGCGCCGGCCGTGATTACGTACATTCGGAGTGCTGCGACACGTCCGAGCAGCGAGGTGGTCCCTGCCAACCGGCTCTCGATGATTAATAAGGCCCTATCTACGTTTCCGGCCTTCTCCGTTCGCTTTTTCAATTTTTCCAAACTTCTCCTACCGCCTCTGTCTATCTTCCCTGCTACCCCGCTATCGCCCCGTTATCGCCGTGTCCCCGCCATGGAACGCGCGTAGGGACACCAGACCGTGACGCTTCCGACCGATTTGTTAAGCTCGCTTTTACGACTCGCTAATGGGATCGATGATTGTAAACAACGGGAAAACGGGGAAACGAGAAATCGGCGCTGAAAAGCGCCGCTTCGGCATCCAATGGATCGCTCGATGGCTTCTCCAAGGGTGCCCCTCCAAGGGTGGTTCCGTTTGAATCGAAGGTTTTGGATAGTTTGGAAGCACGTCGTATAATTGACAGCGTGGATGACCAAGAGACACAGTGGTTCTCAGAGGGAAAATTTCTGAGAAGGTCAATTTCTATGAGATTAATAAATTGAATTAACCCCTTGAAATCGGCCATCTTTTCGTTACAGGAACATAGTAATTCGAAGACTGTTTGCCATAAAGTGGACGATATTTTCAAAACGGTAAATAAGAAGTGCACATTAATTGTAAGACAGAATTATTTTGCCTCGATATTACCTCCAATATTTAAATTGGAGATATTAATTAACAACGATCTTTAGATTCCGATTAAATGGCGACTAAGAATCGTCTCTCGAGTGCAAAGGGTTAATACCGAGGAATAAATTGGCGGGAATTTTTCAAACGTGTTAACTCTCGGGAGCTTAACACGTTAATTTATATATAATTTATTTTTATTTTAAAATTTTATATAAAAAATTTATAGTGCCACGTTGGTCTCCAGGGACCGGTGCTAGACTTCAAGTTCGGGCCCCTTTATCTATAATAAAAGATACTTGTTATATTTAATTTAATTTTCTGCAATGATTATTATTGAAAAAATATTAATCAAGCTGAGAATATAATTTATTTATTTGCAAAGTATTAAGTACACTACAAGAGTAGATAGAAAGAAAATAATGGTCCTCAGGAATTGGCCCAGATTAGGACCAAAAGGTACTAACTTTTAGTGTTAAATTCTTCGCCATCTTTGAGAAAGATAACGTTTGAATTCCTGTTATAACAATTGGTACAGTATCTCGGAGTTTTGTGAACATTTCACCTGAAGGCCCACTTGACGGCCCAGTCTGGGCCTGAACGAAACGGCAAGCAAAACGAGCGGGGTACTTATCGTGTTAATTCTTGGTTTGGAGTTCGGGGGGTTGAAGACTTTCTCATCTTTTACTTAGCTTCTTGTGAGATGTTTATCTGCTTGGGAGATATTCTAATTCTTTGCATTCAGCAATTTTTTGGTTACAGGAAAATAGTAATTCGAAGACTTTAAAGTCGACGATATTTCTAAAACGGTAAATGAGAAATCGTAGAATTATTTTACTTTAATATTCCATGCATAGTTGGGTAATTGTAAATTTGATATATTAATTAACATCCATCTTTAGAATCTGATTAAATGGCGACTGAGGGTCGCCTCTCGAGTGCAGAGGGTTAAACCATCTCGAAAAATTGAACCGTAATTTATATTAATATGGTTTAATATTTTATTTTTAATTTTTCTTTCGATCGGCAGTGCTAAAAGTGGCAATGTTTCGGTGAAAGGAAGACGTGTTTCATTTAACCCTTTACACTCGAGAGGCGCCTTCAGTCGCCATTTGCTAAAAATTTCGAAGATCGATGTTAATTAATATGTCAAGATTAACACTAGAACTGCCGATCTTTAATGGGTACCAAATTATACCGTGCACAGATTATGATAATTTCAGCGGTACGATGAATACGAGTGAATATATTTATTACAGTTCTTTCTTAATACGAGTTGATACCAATTTTATTCTTAAAGCAGGTGTACGTGTTCGGTGATTGCAGAAAGGAAAATTTTGGGACCAATCATTTTGACTGGGTTGGTAGTTCTAGTGTTAAGACTACTTTCGCGGAACTCACTAGCGCCACCGTAACCCGTATCTCCAATCAATGTAACGTAATTATCGTCTATCTACATCGTTGAATTATTCTTCCAATTTTTCTCGAGAAATATCTAAATAAACGAAATTAATACTAGTTCCCTACTTTATAATTTCCACAAATTTTATACAGGTTCCAACGAGATTATTATCCTTCGTATATGATACATTTAAGTATTTATTGAGGACGATAAAGACATGCAAAAGCAGAAAGAGAGTTTTAGGATTGTGTAATTAGACGAAAAGGAAGCTTTCGTTGTTTGTGACAGCCTTAACACTAGAACTACCGATCTTTAATGGGTACCTAACTATAACGTGCACAGATTATAGTAATTTCAGCGGTACGATGAATACGAGTGAATATATTTATTACAGTTCTTTCTTAATACGAGTTGATACGAATTTTATTCTTAAAGCAGGTGTACGTGTTCGATGATTGCAAAAATGAAAATTCTGGGACCAGTCATTTTGACTGGATTGGTAGTTCTAGTGTTAAGATAATGTAACGATATGAAAGGTATCGAAATCAAATAATTCTACGTGTTAATTATTATACGATTCCTTATTTACTGCTCAAAAAAATATCCTCATTTGTATAGCAGAAAATCTTTCAACCCCTACTCTTCTTTAGTCAGAAGCTCGTCGAGTGCACAGAGTTAAAACATCAGTTACATGATGTAATAATGTATATTCCGTGCAATTTGGATTTTTTCGTTCCGTTTAAGATTCGATTCAATTTTTTGGAAGATTCGAAATTAGTTGGTTCTTCCAAGATAAATGATCATTTCTCGATCATTTCGCGTATGCTCAATTCTCCCACTTCAATTTATATTTACTTACTCGTCGAAGCGATATAAAACGCGTGTATGTTTCTCATTTCGAAAATAAATTACAAGCTCGTTTCAAGCTAGATATACAAAAATCTGAATGACTGGAGTCGAAAATCCGAATGATGCATCTGCGGGTTACGGGACGTGAGACGAGTATGTCGATACGTTAGGAGATAACGGGAGTGAAAATAAAGAAGTATTTCGCTGAAAAATACTCTCGTAAAATTAATCGCGTATCAGCTTGGCTTATCAGGGCACCGTTCTCCCAAAAGCGTATCAGGGTCGAAGCATAGGGGTCCTAGCATTTCCCTCTTTTCCCATTTTCCCATTCGACGAAGGCGCGATAACGAGCGACGGAGCATCCGGTGTACCTGTATCAGCGATTTCGATCGAATTCTCGGTTTTCGTCGCGCCGCTATCTGGTCCGGAGAAACGCGACCCGCGGTCACGTACTCGGCGACCCGGTGTGACGAGTCAACGACGTCTCCGTGCCGGTGTCACCTCGTGGAATCTATACTGCCGCGTGACGC